GTCATTCAGCTGGTGGCTTCCTAAAGGAAATCTTCCATGCCCTAAACTGAATTAGACCTGCCTGAGGAATAGTTTTCCAGTCATACAAATAAAAAGCCAACAGGATTTCAACTCACTGTTTTAATTTCTTTCCCAAGACAGAAAGACTTCTCAAAGTTCTTCATAAGCATGCAAACCAAGAGAACCCAAACAGGTAGCAGGTAAACAGGTTGGTAAACAGGTCACTCATTGGGACACTGTGGAGCACTCAGGTCCCCCTTGTTCTTGCTCCAAGGTACTCCCACAATTCTACTGAGTCTCCTAGTAACACACAACAGGATTAATCTCTGCTTCTCAGTCAGAGAATTGTTCCACTTTGAAGTAAGTAGAGAGAAAGGCTGACTCCAACTGTGGCCCTTAGCTGGCATGTGAGAAAACCTCAAGTAAGTCCAAGCTCCAGTAAATATGTGATTATTAACCAGCTGCAGCACCAGAAGCCTGAGAGAGAGCTACCGAGAGCAGCCAGCTGCTTGCCTGTGAGGCATCATGATCCAAGCTCACAGCCTGAGTTTTGATGCTTTGAACCCTGGTTGCCTTGGTAGGAACTAGATGATCTTTCGTGTCCCTTCTGACTGAAACTTTTCTACGATTCTATGCTCTTGGTTTCAGAAGACTACAGTGACATCAGAGCTGAGGATGGCTCTGAGGGTATGAGAACAACCTCACAGCCTGTGCATTCTCACTGTGGTCATGTTTGACCATTTTGCAATAGGAGAGGAGTGGGTGGTCTGCAAGGGTGTTCAAAAAGCATGGCTGGATGTGATGTGAAGCTGGACTGAGGCTGGCTGAAAGTTAAATGAAATTCAAGTGATGAATACCTGAGGTTTAGGAATTGCTGTGGCAGGATGCACACTTACTGAGCAGTCTGGCTGGCAACTGAGCACAGCTTTCAGTAGTGGTGTCTATACACAGTGAGAATATGTGTTCCTTTAATCCTTGTATAACCTAGCAGCTCCACCTACCCAGGAGACTGAAATTCTCATTGATTCATTGAGCATGCCCAGCAAAAACTCCTGAGCCTTTTCCTCTCCCTTTTCTGCCAGCTATAAGGTTCAAAAGATCTCCATAGAGATTAGCAACGTAAATCCATTCACCCTTTTCCCAGGAGTAGCTAATACTTGGATGTGCATTTAGGCAGTGGCACTGATTACATTGTGAATTCCCTCCTAACCTCCAACCATCTGATATATATTTTGAATTGGAAGGTACCTCCAGTAAATGGCATTTAGTAGCAAGCATAATTTCATGTCTTCACTGGAGAGGATGCTGCTAAACCCAGGGTAGTCCTGTCACTTAATTCCTCTGGTTCTATCAGCAAAGATGTGAGATAATCCTGACTTTGTAACATAAATCTTTTTCTCAGAGACTTTCACAGATGTGATCATTCCACAAGCATTATCCACTCACTGAAGATCTTGGCCTTCTGCTCACTTAATATCTACAGTTCTGAGAAAATGAATGGTTTTACTAATCTGTGTAAAGTAAACAGCATTTTGTCCTTAAAAAAACCAATATTTAGTCACTCCTGAATCTGGTGCATTCAGCCAACACACTTAAAGAGTGCAGGATCAGAACTGTGGAATGATACAGGCTGGAAGGGACCTCTGGAGATCACCTGGTCCAAGCCCCACTGAAGAGGGGATAACTCCAAAGTCAGGTCAGGTCATTCACAGTGATGTCCAGCTGAATATTGCATATTGCTAAAGCTGGAGATTTCACAGCCACTTCAACTGATTTCAGACCACTCTCCAGGTGAATATTTATTTCTTAATTTCTAACTGGAATGTAGAATCATAGAATGGTTTAGGCAGAAAGGAACCTGAGACATCATCTATTTCCAACCACTCTGCCATGAGCAGGGACACCTTATACTAGACCAGAGCCGCATCCAACCTGTCCCTGAACTCTTTCAGGGATGGGGCATCCACAACTTCTCTAAGCAACCTGTTACAGTGACTCACCACCCTCACAAGAATGAATTCCTTCCAATTTAATGCTAGCCTAATCCGATTTAAACCTACCCTCCATCATCCTAATGCTCTTACCTCCTGTTCTGTCATTCCATCCCCTTTTAAAAAGTCCCTCTCCAGCTCTCTTGTAGCCCCTTTAGGTTCTGCAAGGTGCTATATAGCCTCCCCGGAGCCTTCTCTTCCCTAGGCTGAACAGCACTAACTCTCTCAGCCTGCCTTCACAGCAGAGGTGCTCCAGTGCCTGGATCACCTTCATGACCCTCCTCTGGACTCCTCCAACAACTCCATGTCCTTCTCACAGTGGGGGGCCCAGAGCTGGGTGCAGCCCTGCAGGTGGGGTCCCACACAGCTGGAGCAGAGAGGCAGAATTCCCTGCTCCAGCTGCTGGCCACGCTGCCTGTGGTGCAGCCCAGGACACAGGTGGCTTTCTGGGCTGCCTGTGCACATCGCCAGCTCGTGCTGAGCTCCTCATCAACCAACACCCCCAAGTCAGCAGTGATGTTGTGACTCTCACTCGTTGCATCCCCTCCAAGTGCTGTGCACCTCTAAGGACAGTTTGCTTTTACCCTTTCTATGCTCACCCTGAGGTAACTGGAGTCAGCAGTAAGATTTTCCCCTTAAACTTCCCTTTTTAGGAGTGATAAACTCTGTTCTTTTTGTTTTTACACATCATACATGAGTCTGCTCATCACCTTGATTACCTACAACTGGACTTCTCCCAGTAAGGAACCCCAAGCAGGACATGAAATTCCAAGGTTTGTTGGATAGAGGGAAATGGCTATAACCCCAAAACTGATGGACGCAATCTTGCTCATATAGGCCAGGATGCTCCTGCTCCAGGATGTGTCCAAGAGACTCATCAGGTTCTCCTGTCAATAAAGTTGACTGCCCAGTCAGTCCCCAGCCTGTACTCTTGTACAGGTCTATTCCATCCCAGGTGCAGACCTTTGCATTTCCATATACATACTTATACATATATATACACATAAATATATATATATATATATTTGTTTACATTCTGTATTTCCCTTCACTTCTCAAATGACCCATTCAGCTCCAGCACCTGTCAATATATATTTTTTTAAAGTCGAGTAAGTAAAATAATGAAAGTATTAATGATTTTTCATGACAACGTAATCTAGTTTTACTTCTAGTTTTACTTATTTAGATTTCATACATTTTATTTTCATTTCCCTTTAAATGTAGTTTTTGTCTATTTGTTCCTGAAACGAACAAAAAAATAATCTATTTTCAGGAGTACATATTTTATCATTTGTGGTTGATTCTATTAATTCTGGGTCATAGGGTTTTTTCTGGGAAGAGCCCACGCAACAAAAAGCTCTCAGCCTTGGAGCTGCTAAGTGTTTTGATCAATATAATGACAGTCAATGATGTTTTGCACCTTACAAACCAGGAATTTTAAATCAAGAGGCTTTATGAAAGGCTGCAAACCCTATTTGTCCTTTGAGTTGTAAGTAAAAAAACCTACTCATTCCAAAATTGTCGGTATTCTTGTGCATAAAAGATAAAATAATAATTTCTTCCCCCAAAAGATGGCAGTTTATTTCCAAAAGGATGATATAGTCTCTAAGGCTACATTTGTTCCAGTGCTACAATTGGATCCCTGGTTCTGAGAATGGGTAGCACGGCACTGAATGAATTCTTACAGGGAAGATCCCATCCCACCAAAAGAATGTCCTGGACCTGTTTGGAGATGCTGCTTTGCATTTCCCTTGGTGGCACAGAGGAACAAGCAGCAGCAAAGGAAAACATCTTGTTCATTACCCTTTGTTATTGTTACTTGCTGTTTTCATTAAAAATTCCAGAGAGATTCAGGCGAGGCAGAAGGAAGCATCAGTTTGGCTTTACCCTCGGTATTCCACAATCATGGAATGCTGGGGTACTCCCTGAACATCTCTGTTTGTGTCTTCTCCCCAACTCTCTCTCTCAAGCTGCACTTCACCAGCAAATGTCATTGTCACCTGATCTTAACACAGATGCCCTCCCTTCCTTCCTTCCCCCTCCCCCAAGAGATGCAAACTGTGAGCCCTACGTTACTGCCTGTCAGCTTCTCACCTCTCGTGTCTGACCCAAAAGCTCTTTGGACCTGTTATCCCAGGACTGTCTGGAGAAGCAGAGTGCCAGCACCAGCACTGCCCTGCCTGGATGCCATCCAAGGCTCGTGGGCTGGAGCTGGCTGGCATCCCTGCATGGAGCTGGGGCACAGGGAATCCTGCTCGGGGGGGTGAGATTCTGATTTCTGCTAGGAAGCCCAGAATCCCACTACTCATCACAATTATTGTGCTAAAAACCAGGGGAAATGCTCACGCATTTCATTAATGGCTAATGTTATTAAATAGACAATTAATAAGAGCAGTCAAGTGAATTATTATCTCTAATAAAAGCCCCGACCATTGCTAACAAGTTAGGAAATGCCAGCACAGAAGTTCTCAAAGAAATAATCCCCTGCCACATTACCTCTACACGGAATAACCAGGGTTACTAACAGGTTTCCTGGGTGCACACTGTAGCCTCTCTGGGAGCAAGGAAATTCCCGCGGCGCCTCACCAACACATTTTTAGAGGAGCCCAGGGACAATTTCACAGGGATGCTAACTTTCTGCGGCTGGCACGGAATACGCCCGGAGGGGGCGAAGCCACCCCGAGACAAAGCCGGGGCTGATTCCCGCACGGTGCGGGCAGGGGATGGGCAGCGGGCGGGACAAGGACAGCGGGCAGCGGGCTGCGGTAGGGGCAGAGGCCGGGCAGGGGCGGCACGTACCGGGCAGGGACAGCCGGCTGGGGCAGGGGACGGCGGCTCTGCCCTCCCGCTCGGCCCGGCGCCGGTTCCGACCCGCTCACGGACATGACTAAGCAGCACCTCTCCCTCCGCGGCCGCTCCCGCCGGGGCTGCCCGCCCCGCACCGCGATCCCGGAGCAGCCCGGAGCATCCCGGAGCAGCCCCGAGCAGCCCGGCCCCCGCAGCCCCGGCATGGAGCGCCCGCTCAACATCAGCTGCCTCGCCGATACGACGCCGGACCGCGGCAACAGGAGCGGGTCCTCCGCCGGCCCCGAGGGCGGCCAGGCCCATCTCTCCGTCTTCAGCGTGTTGGTTCTCACCCTGTTGGCCATGCTGGTGGTGGCCACGTTCCTCTGGAACGGGCTGGTCCTGGCCACCATCCTCCGCGTGCGCAGTTTCCACCGGGTGCCCCACAACCTGGTGGCCTCCATGGCCATCTCCGACGTGATGGTGGCAGCCCTCGTCATGCCCCTCAGCTTGGTGCACGAGTTGTCCGGGCGGCGGTGGCGGCTGGGCCGGTCGCTCTGCCAGGTGTGGATCTCCTTCGATGTGCTGTGCTGCACTGCCAGCATCTGGAATGTCACGGCCATTGCCCTCGACCGCTACTGGTCCATCACTCGCCACCTGGAGTACACGCTGCGCACCCGGCGCCGCATCTCCAACATCATGATCGCTCTCACCTGGGCACTCTCCGCATTCATCTCTCTGGCCCCGCTGCTCTTTGGCTGGGGAGAGACTTACTCAGAGGACAGTGAAGAGTGCCAAGTCAGCCAGGAGCCTTCCTACACCATCTTCTCCACCTTTGGGGCTTTCTACTTGCCCCTCTGCGTGGTGCTCTTTGTGTACTGGAAGATCTACAGGGCTGCCAAGTTTCGAATCGGATCTCGCAAGAGCAACTCCATCACCCCCATTACACCAGAACCACTGGAGGTAGGTCAGCTTGGTTGTGCTGTGCTTGAGTCAAGCATTGGCAGCAGGCAAGCCTTTGTAGAACTGGGGGAAACAAACTAAAAATGTGCAAGCGAACAGTGATCCATCAAAACCCTGTGGATCCTGGAGGCTTCCAAGGGAAGGCTGGCTGCAAAGCTTGCAAACCCAGTGTGTTGGCTCCTTCCGAGCCCCCAGCTGTGAGCACTCAAGGTGCAGCTAAAGCAGCTTTGGGACATACTGCGAGCCTGAGCTCCACGTGGGCGAGTGGTGACTCACAGATGTCCCCCCAAGGAATGCTGAATCAGTGCTCACCAGCATGAGTAAGGGGTCACTGCCCCTCCCCTGGGGACACAAGGGGACAGTGGATGGATGGGCAGCTGTGTCTGCTGGGGACGATACCCTGGTAACCAGCTGTGGCTTTGGGGACACTGTGAATTTACCCAGACAGAAAACACTTGTGCAGAATGTCCTTGGAAATCTTTCCTAATCATGACTGCATCGTGTCAGTTCATCCCAGGCACGGTGACTCTGCACTGTAAAGATTTCTTGCAGGGAGGAAGCAAATGTGTGCTAATTTTCTTTCCTCTCCTACCAAAAACTCTTAAACTCGATGGGTTTAGAGAAAGTAAGCAGACTTCTGTGCACGGCATGTGGGTGTGTGCCTGTTCTGCTGATCAGATTTTAAGTGGGGAAGTAATCTTATTGTGCTGCACTGTGAGTAACCCCATGTACCCTCAGTACTCTCTCTAGTTTCTAATCTCACTTAAATAGTCTCCATCACCCAGAAGAGGTTATACAGCCACCTTGCCCTCAGTTAGGGTGTGACATGCATGGTCTGTGTTTCCCCTGGAGCTCTGGCCCCCGCTTGCACTTTTGGGCTCTGTACCTGCTGTGTGGGATCGCCTGACTGGGGTACATACGGTGCAACTTGTGTTTGTGTTTGGCAGGTGAAAGAAGCTGCCCAGCAGCCACAGATGGTCTTCACTGTCCGTCACGCCACTGTTACGTTCCAGACGGACGGAGACACGTGGAGAGAGCAGAAGGAAAAGAAAGCTGCCCTCATGGTGGGCATCCTTATTGGGGTCTTCGTGCTCTGCTGGATCCCCTTCTTCATCACAGAGCTCATCAACCCACTCTGCTCATGTGACATCCCACCCATTTGGAAGAGCATTTTTCTATGGCTGGGCTATTCAAATTCCTTTTTTAATCCACTCATCTACACTGCTTTCAACAAAAACTACAACAATGCCTTCAGGAACCTATTCTTTAGGCAGCAGTGAGCAGAAAAAGCTTTTCTGCTGCCCCAGGAAGCTGATTTTGAGTGTCAGTGATTCTGACCAAATTCCTGAGGAAGTTCAAAGCCACAGATACTGAGGTGATGCTGAAAATGCACCGCCATGGGTCGTATGTCCCAGACAGTCCCAGTCCCTAGGCAGGCTCTCCATCCCAGCCTCTTAGCTGCTTTTTTCCTGCAAGTAGCATGTAAGGGCTTCTCCTGCCAGCAGCCTGGCATCCTCGCTCCAGTGCCCTGCTGTGTTCCTCCTGCCTCCCCAGTGACTCTGTTTGGTGGCACCAAAGATGCAGAGGAGTCCACTGGCAAAGGAACATTGGTTTGGCCACTGCTGGTATCTCCCAGCTATTCACCTTAGCGGGGACTCTATAACATCAGGAGGCTTTGTGATTACATATGAGAGTACATATTTTATGGCTTGGCTGAAAACATGGTTTGTCTTGTCTTTCACTGGTAAAGACTGCAAAGTGTTTGTTTTTTTTGGAAAATAAAACCCTTGGTAAGGGTTAAATGCAGACTACAAGTACCAAGCTTTTTCTCACATACTTTGGGAAGAACAAATTGTGTCTGTTTGCTTTTGGATTCTATGTAGCAGGGTTTGTTTTTTTTAAAAAACCAAACTTATTGTGAAAGCTTAATGCATGGTGTACCCTGGAATGAGAGAGAATGCATGGGAAACTCACCTCTCGTTCCCCGACTGCCACATGTGAGCATCTGCCTCAGACCTTTATGTTTGGAAATACCAGCTGTAAATGCTAATCTTCCTGCCTGTTGTTTCCCATTTTAAAACACTGATGTATTTTGAGCAGCTGTGGGCAGATTTCCTATAGTTTCAGGGTGTGCAAGGGGTGTATTTCAAATTGTCTTTCAATGAGGAGCTGTGTTTTACTATTTCTGAATGCAATCCAGAACTTGAAACCAAAGCGAAAACCCCAGTTTGTTTCCATGAGCACTGGGTTGCAGGCAAAGGGCTGTTAATGACAGGTGATATTTCTTTTTGGAAGCATAATCAAACCATGGAGCTTCTCTTCTGCAAGGACCAGCCTTGAATATTTATATTTTTGCTCACCTGTCCTTCTCTGCCTGCCCCTCTAAGGCTCCATCCCACATGGTTGTTACTGCTCTGTTGCCTCCCTGCCTTTTCACATTGCCAACTTAATTACAGTAGTTGGCATTTCACTCCTACAATTAGGGTTACACACTTTATACTGCCCTACTGAAGGACTGACAGGTCTGTAGATAAAGGAAAACATTAGTTTTGACTTGGTTCTGGGACAGCCACTGAAATCAGACCACAACTAAAATGGTCGAAAAAAATACAAGATGGAAATCAGAACAATCTGATTTCATGTTAGATATCTCAAGAAGAGATGAAAGGGAAACATGTCAATAAATTATGGTAAAGCTCCCTGGGGTTGGGTAATATTAATTTCTATCTGTAGTAGATCATGAGACATCAGATGCTAAAATTGTCACTGGTCCTTTAAACCAGTCAAAAATTCTGGCAGAGTTGGCAATAAAAGCCCTTTTTCTTTTGCTGTGTCTCGACAGGTGAAAATGGAAGCAGAGGTCAAGGTGCTATTAAAGTGTTGCAGCCCTTTCAGGACCAGTTAGACAAACATCCATCAGCACTGACATGGACGTAGCTGATCCTGCCTTTTGGCAAGAAGAGAAATAGGATAGCCTTTGACATCTTCCTTAACACCATCTTAGAAAAGTCTGTTGGAAATATTGGGTAAAACCCTGCCCTCATTGAAAGCAATGGAGATTTTTTTTTCAGTGATTTCAAATGGATCAGATTTTTATATGGCATGTCTTGTCTCGTAACAGCATATTTTTAATGTTAATTAATTCTAGGAGAAGATGGCTGGGATGGGAGTAATCTTCTAACTCCCGTGAAAGAGGCTCTGACCTGCCCCCTAACCATGGGCCAATCTTTCCAACTAGTCAAGAGCATTTTCTTGCTTTGTTACATATATTAAAATATTATTAGTGACATCTCTGATGTACCAAAAATTGTAATAAACTCTTAAACTGCTTTTTTTACTGAATATATAAAGGATGTGCTGCTTTCTCTGGACAGTCCATCACTGATGCTGAGTTGTTCTGTTTGGGAATTGCTGCTTTTGTTGTGCCAAGGGTTGTTTAGCCAAAAATGACTTGGAAAAAATGCTTCCTTGTTCAAGCCAGAACTTCAGCTAAGCTTGGTGGTGCCTGAAAGTAGGAGACTACTTCTTAAACACCCAGAGTGACACTTAAAACACTTTAAAGCATGGATTACCTGGGAAGTTGGACCTTAGATCCCCATTTTCACACCTAACATCATATCTGCACAACCCCATATCAGCCCCAGCTGTGTCCCTGCCATTTTTATTTGCTCTTTGATGAGTATTGCAGATTTTCTTGTCTCTGTTGTGTGGGGTCCTTGTGCAGGGTGTGGAATCACCTGTAAACTCAAATTAATGTCCACTCGAGCACTGTGAGCAGACAAAAATTAAACTGAAATCAGTGGGAAATTCCCTACTTTAGTTGCAGTTTGGTGCTGGGTGAAGCTCCCTTTCATTACACCCTCTGTTTATTCATGCTATGCCTTTAACAGTGACAGGGAGACAGGAGATCATTTTGAAGTGACACTAGATAATTCCAATTTGCCTGTAGTCATGAGTATTCCACCATCCTGGTGTAAATTACACTTACATTTATTTGACAGGCCACATCTGATACAATCATTTTCTGGAAAGAAACACCTTCTAGTTGTTTGTAAGATTTGTTCTTTTAAACCTTGATAAAATTAGCAGCTTTTGTATTGGCCATTTCCTGCAGCTCATACTTGAGACCTAACACCATGGGCTTTCCTTCTGAGGATCATCCCTGCAATGCAATATGACCAGGCAGGGAAAATATCATTATTCTGGAGGTTGCACTGCAGAATCACACTGAAACATGCCACAATGATCTCAGCACAGGGAAGTGGCACAAAGAGACCTGGACATCTGATCCAGGCTCTGAGGCTTTTTACAGACCTCTCATTATTCAAACACAGATGCTGAGTGGGTTCCCAGAGATGCAAATCATGTTTGAAGACACAGGCAACCACAGCTTCAAAGGAGGCATCTTGTACCTTCTTGTTCCCATTTATACACAGAATCAGTGGTGTGAAGAGATCTGCCTGACTGAGGCTTTGTGAGGATTAATTACAAAATGTTGATCATGTACCAGGAAGGTGGAACACTCTGGTTTGAACGCCGAGCAGCATTATAAATTGAGCTTCTATTTAATTCCTAGGAAGAACGTTATTACCCATTATTATTGAGTTTTGTACGCAGTTTAATGGCTATATAATACTTCCAGAACAGATTTAACTAACCTGCTCCCACTTACAATTAATTTAGCTCCCTCTCAATGCCCTGACAATCCAATGAACATCTGTTTGGGAGCGAGGGCAGTGTGTGCTGAATTCCAGCTGCTGCTGAGCATCTCCTTGCGATGCTGAGCGCATGCTGTCAGGGTTCAAGGAGCAGCAGCTCTCTGGGCAGCCTGCTCTGGGTTCCTTTTACTTTTTAGGGAAGAAAGAAAAGGTCATTGAAGAATGCCCATGGATTACATGACAGGTTGGCTAACCACCTTCCTTCTTCACCCCCTGCCTGTTGGGCTCTCTTCTCATCACAGGCAGGTGACTCCAGGGCATCCACTGGCCCAATGCAGCCAGAGGTGAGCCACATATGACTTCATCCCCTGGTAATTTTTCAGGGCTTTTCAAAAAAATTACTACTAGGAGATGTGTCCTTTGGACTGTCAGCAGCAGCTGAAAGTGGGAGTTTCCTGGAAGTAGAGTTGCAGGTAATTAAAGAAATTTCACCTGACAAAGGTAATTAATGACTATTCCTTCCAGTGATTGCAGTGGTGAGGTACAACTGACAAAGTGTCAAGGTGATTTCTGCAAGGCAGTGGTTTGAGCTGCTTTGTTCATCCTGTTTTACTTTTGGACCCCTTGTTTTACCACCACTGGTAGAGCATCCCCCTGGGGCTCCAGCAAAGTCATGGTGGACATGATACAGTCACCATGAATGCTCCATGTGAGAACAGTGGGGTGAAATATCCATGACAAAATCAGCATCCCCACTGAGATACACCCTGGCATGAAAATCATGACATTGCCAGTATTTAATTGAATTTAGGACATGGCCAAAGAGCTCTTTAAGTCCTCATTATTTTAGTTCCACCGAGGTGCTGAGGAAGTTGCAGAAGACTAGAAGAGAGCTGGAGTTGTGCCAGTATTTTAAAAAGGCAAATTTGGAGAGCCAAGTATTTCTAAGACAAATGCTGTTACTGATTTACAGCTTGAAATTGATCCTTGGCAAAAGAAGTGGAGGAGCTGATAAATTACTCGGTGAATAAAAAATTATAGGAAATAAATATAATTAAAATAAATCACATTGATGTTTTTGATTGCAGCACATGGTTCATTGCTGATGGGATATAAACTATTCACTCAATAATGAATCTGACTTGACAACATTCAATGCCTCCATTAAAAATTGAAGAAGAAACCAATATGAGGTTCAAACTGTCCAATAATTGCTAGTGACTTATGGACTGGGGAAAGGTGTAAATACTGAAAATCAGGTCACTTCTGCAGAGAAGTGAGGATAAAAACTGGTTGGGAGCATTTCAGCCTGGCATGAGGGAAAGGCACGTGTCCAGGAGCAGCAGGATGGGGCCCTGGTTGCAGGAGGAGAGACAAGGCTGTGATGGGGTGCATCAGGGGCTGAACATATGGGACTTTTCAGCATTTCAGGAACAAGCAGGCTTATTTCTTGCCTGTTCATGGGCTGTGTCCAGCTGTGGGTTTTATTCTGGTCACTGGAGGAGAGGCTGGGATTTCAGTTCATCGTCTTTTTGCTCCTCCCTCCTCCTCGCCACTGCCAGGCTGTCAGCCTCAGCATTGCCATTCTGTGTCATTTTCCATGCTAGCCAAGTCAAATACTG